TAGTAGTAGTAGTACGAGTACGTAGTACGAGTAGAGTAGAGTAGTAGTAGTAGTAGTAGTAGTAGTAGTAGAGAGAGAGAGAGAGAGAGAGAGAGAGAGAGAGGGGAGCAATGCGCATAGGCTGGCATGCCTTCAACTCCCCACATCAACTTCCAGCCCACCACTTCCTCCAAGATCATCAGCCTATGCAAACAGGATCTTCTAAGCCAAGCACTCTCTCTCTTCCAATCTTTCTCTCTCTTAGATTCTCCAACCACCCACCACCTCCAGACTTACTCTGCTCTCTTCCAAGCCTGCGCCAATCTCAAGTTCCCACTCTTCGGCGCCGCTCTCCACAAAAGGTGGCTATTTCTCTCTATAAACGACCTTATCGTCTCCAATCACCTCATCAACATGTATGCGCGATGTGGCCTTTTAAGAACCGCGCGCAAAGTGTTCGACAAAATGCCTAAAAGAAACATAGTCTCTTGGACCTCTCTAATCTCAGGCTACGACCACGCATTTATGCATCACGATAGCCTCAATCTCTTCTCTCTCATGTATAGGCAATGTGATGAAAAACCCAATGAATTCACACTTGGTAGTGTGCTGAGCTCAATCTCTGCTCTAAAGAATGCATATTTTGGTCGTCAAGTCCATGGATTAGCTATAAAAATCTCACTTGATGCTCATGTCTGTGTGGGCAATGCACTTGTTACTATGTATTCAAGGTGTCAGAATGCTTTAGACAATGCGATGATGGTGTTTTGGACGATGGGGTGTCAGAATTTGGTGTCGTGGAATTCAATGATTGGTGCTTGCGTATGGAATGGTTGTGATGTGGGGGCAATTGAATTGTTTTCGAGGATGCGTAAATGTGGGGTTGGATGTGATCGTGCTACAATGGTTAGTGTTCTGACTTCATGTTCAGTGTTGGAGAGTGTTTGGATTGTTCAGCAATTGCATTGTCTTTCAGTGAAAGGTGGATTTATGGAGGAGGCTGAGGTGGCCACAACGGTGATGAAGGCATATGCAAGCCATGGGTGCACTGAGGAATCCTATAGGCATGGACTCATAAATATTCCCTTTTTTTCTTTTCTTTTTTTCTCTTTTGAGAAATAAATGAAATAGTTTTAGAGTATTATTGCTAATATTTCTAGTATATGATAATTTTAAATCACATTTTCTATTTTTGTGCCTTAACAAAAAGGAACCATGAAATTTGAGTGTAAATATCAGGGGATGTATACCATAGGAGAGTGGTTTATGGTTCATCTTACGCCATGGAGAATGTAAATGTAGTTCCTAGTAACAGACACTTCCCTGGGAGGATTTATCTCCAATTGCTATCATGGGGAACATATGGTGGATTTTGCCATGTTATACAATAAAACACACTTGCATTTAGTACAATTCACTACTCACAAGTTTTATTTTAGAAAAGAAACAGAAGTTGTATAATTCTGAAAAGATGCAAGTTATACATTACTAGAAATACATAATACAGAAGCGTAAAATGTATAACTCAAGTGGAAAAACAAGTTTATTTATTATTCTTTTTTAATTTTCAATGACTTCAAAAACATTTCCTGTTTTCAACCCCTTCTGATTTTCTTAATTTTACTCGAGAAAATCTGATTGTAGTTAAAACTTTTAAAAACATTGTAGCTATTTACTTCCTGAAATTGGCCCTTTACGGTTTCACATACAGGCTCTTCTTTGGGATTCCTTCCATGGACATCATGTGTTGGACTGGGATCATCACCACACTCGCTGACCAAGACCCTGAAGAGGCACTCCGCCTCTTCCAACAGCTCTACATCCACTTCCAGCCTGACTCCTTTACGTACAGTGCCGCCCTAAAGGCGTGCACAACAATCGCCAACATAGGCCATGCACAAGCAGTGCATGCACAAGTCATTAAAGCAGGTCTTGACTACAATGTGGCCCTCAACAATGCTCTCATCCACACATATGCACGTGGTGGCAACATCAACTTTGCAAAACATGCCTTCTCGTTGATGCAAACCCGAGATACCATCTCATATAACTCGATGATCAAGGCCTATGCACTACATGGACAAGGAGCCGAGGCCCTGAGTCTCTTCGAACAAATGGTTGGTAATGGTATTAGACCTGATGAGATCACCTTTGTGGGCTTGCTCTCAGCTTGTAGCCATGCAGGGATGGTCAATGAGGGTTGTTGTGTGTTTGAAGTCATGGTAAAGACCTATAACATTTCCAGGCAACTTAATCACTACGCATGCATGGTGGACATATTGGGGCGTGCGGGCCTAGTCAGAGAGGCGGTGACTTTGATCGAAGAGATGCCTTTTAAAGCTGATTCGGTGATATGGAGTTCACTCTTGGGTGCTTGTCGGGTCCATCGAGACGCTCAGATAGGAGAGAGTGTGGCTAAGAAACTCATCGAGCTCAAGCCTCAAAGCTCTATGGGATATGTGCTTATGTGCAATATATATGCAGAAGGGGGTAGTTGGAGTGAGTCTGCGAGTTTAAGAAAGAAAATGAGCTTTGTAGGTGTTAAGAAAGAGATCGGAGTGAGTTGGATAGACGTAGGACATAGGGTGCATTGGTTCACATCAGGGGATACTGGCCACCCGCAGTGGGAGGGGATAAGGGTTGAGTTAGAGAGAGTGGTGGCGAGGATTAAGGAAGCTGGGTATTTGCCCAATACAAGTGTGGTTTTATACGAGGAGGGAGAGGAGCACAAGGAAGAACGGGTGCTTAGGCACAGTGAGAAATTGGCCATGGCCTTTGGCCTTATGTTCACTCGAGAGGGCGTGGAATTGAGGATAATGAAGAACCTTAGGATTTGTGTGGATTGTCACAATGCATTTAAGGTGGCATCAGGGTGTTTCGGGAGGGAGATGGTGGTGAGGGATGCGAACCGGTTCCACCATTTCAAGGATGGATTTTGCTCTTGCAGGGATTATTGGTAGTTCTTTGTTATAATTAGGTGTATTATTTGTGACATTGACCTTTAATTCAGAAAAAGTGGCTCACTATTTTTTATTTATTTTTTGATGGCATGAATAATTGGGTAAATGTCGTTAATAATCAACAGAGAAGTCAAGCTTTATTTTTTGCATATACACTTTTTAGCTATTTTAGATCCATATATACTAGAGCATTAGATTTAGAATAAAAATTTTAAAGTTTTTTTTTGAATTATTGTAGTGAAAATTTAAAGGTTTTGGTTTGATTTATTATGATATTTCTATTGTTTGCTAATGTGATTTGCAGGGGAAACATCATGTAAATAATTACATAGTTAATTATTAATATTTGAATTAAATATTATTTATTCTATTTTAATCGTATAGTGATAAATATGTAAATTTAATAACAAATAATTAAAATTTTATATTTTATATCAACTAATAGTATTTGGTAAAAATAGTTACCATAAATATTATTAATCATTCTTATTCAATTAAAAACAACTTAATAACCCAATGATGCCTTTTTAAAAAATGCTATTGTAAAATGAAAATTTATTCAATTATAACTAAATCAAAGTTGCACGTGCATAATATTAGTTTATTTTTAAAACAAAAATGAAGGTATTTTGGAATACCATTTTTTAGAAACATGGAGAAAGATGAGGGTGGGCTGTCCACGGCGTGAGTCCCGCTGGGCTTTGAACCCTAGAAGATAGACGCTAATAAACAGCACGCCCCCATGACAGCAGGTCAAAGCATCTGAGTTTAAACCCCCTTACATTTTTAATACGGAGTAAGTGAATTTGTTTTGCCCCTGGCAATATCTATGTGATTTAGGAGCCAATAAACTATTGCCAATATGTGATCTGTTTGCGGCAGTATGCCTTCTAGAGAGGCTTTTTGTTGGATTTAGAGAAATGATATATGGGAGTTTTGTTGTTCTTAATTCACCCTGATTGAAATAAAATAAAAAATGCTGAGTAGAAAAAAAGAGGATCATGAGAGAGAAAGTTACATGTTCAATTGTAAACCTTCAAAAGTTGGGGAATGATTTCATGCAAGGTTGTATAATAATATAATGTCGTCATGCTTCTAGAAAACTATGTTTATAGCATTAATATCACCTCAAAAATTGCACATACCCTCTCTTCATCCCAATACTCAATTTTCAAATAAATAAAATTCAATTTGCATTACCTCAAAAATTGCACATACCCTCTCTTCATCCCAATACTCAATTTTCAAATAAATAAAATTCAATTTACATTATGGTTAAAATGAGCTCCCTCCAACATTGAATCTAGAAAATAAATTTCAAGATCTAAGACTTTACAAATTCGAAACCATTTTGTTTTCTTTTTCAGCATTGTTCATCTAATGATAAAAAATCTATGCAAAAATTATGAAAAAAGAAAATTCCTTATATGGCCTAGATCTAATCACGTTAACAAAATAGATGGTTTATGTTGATTGGGCTAAAATAACACTTTCTAGGATGCATTTTTATTTTATTTTATTTAGTTTTTTTGTTTTTATTGTTCAATGGAATGAAAAGAGTGTAAATTTAAAAATTAGAATCAAACAGATGGCACTAACATGGTGTTTAAAGGTTGTTGCATTGTATTACTATACAACCATCGCATGAAATCATTTCCCATTGTAGGGATATTATTTTCTATTATCTAATGTTTTATTATTGGGCAGTGATATCATGCAACGGTTGCATCATGGTATGATACAACCACACTTCTAGAAAACCATGTTTGTGGTATTTGTATGGCCCAAAATTTGCACATACACACTCTCTACATCTCAATAATCAATCCAAAAAAAAAAAAAGTTTAATTTGAACATTAGATATGGTAAAAATGAGTATCCTCCAACAACGAATCTAGACCATTCATTTGGTGAGTTTCAATATCTTAGTCTTTACAAACTCAAAATCATTTTTTTCTTTTTTAACATTGTTTATCTAATGATAATAAAGCTAACTAAACAAATTGGAAAGAACAACAATCCTTCTACTGCTTAGATCTAAGCATCTTATCAAAATGGACGGCCTATGTTAATTGGGTTGAAAAAATACTTTCTAGGTTTCGTTTTCAAATTTTTTTTTTTTGTGATTGTTGATTAGAATGAAAAGAGTGTATATTTCAGAATTTGTATCAAACAAATGGCCCTAACATTATTTTTTAAGGTTATGGCTTTATACTATAATACAACTGTTGCATGAAATAGCAACCCCCCTCCAATTATAGGATAGAGCAATGGTCCAATGCAGTGGTTGTATCACAGTATGATACAACGATACTTCTAGAAAACCATGTTTGTGGTATTCATATGACCCCAAATTTTGCACACACACTCTCTTCATCTCAATAATCAATCCTTAAAAAAAAAAAAGTTCAATTTGGATCGTAGATATGGCCAAAATGAGTCCCCTCCAAAAAAGAATCTAAACCATTTATTTTGTGAATTTCAAGATCTTAGCCTTTATAATCTCAAAATCATTTTTTTCCATTTTAAGATTGTTCATCTAGTGATAATAAAGTCATCCAAAACAATTGGAAATGGAAAAAAATCCTTCTAAGGCCTAGATCTAAGCATTTCATCAAAATGAACAGCCTATGTTAATTGGGCTAAAAAAATACTTTCTAGGTTGTGTTTTCAATTATTTTTTTATTTGTGATTTTTCATTAGAATGAAAAAGTGTATATTTCAAATTTTGAATCAAACAAATAGCCATAAAATGGTTTTTTTAAATAGTTGCATCACATTACTATACAACAGTTGCATGTAATTATTGCCCGGATAGGATATTTGAATAAGTCTCTTCTTCTAAATATAGAAAGAAAATTATTGTACAATATCAATTTCCTTTTCATCTCCCTCCCCCCTCAAGATTGGAAATATAATAAAACCTATAGTATGTCTCTTTATTATGCTTCATGACGGACCTATAGTTGGATTTCATCTACATGAATCAGTGGAGAATAGATCGAAGGATAGTAGATCTCACTATATCGTTCGATGGCTACGTTTTCTATCAAAGAGGAGAGGCTTACAAGAACTCACCAGCCCAGTCATCACATACCCAAGCATCACATATAGATTGCACTCTTCCCTCTATTCAATCCATTCCTTAGTGTCTTTGAACCTAGCCTTTTGTGTGTTTGATCCTCCACCTGGTTTCAATTCATTAGTGTCTTTGAACCTAATCCTTTTTGTGTTTGATCCTACACCTGGTTTCAGGGGGGTTTTAGCTCTCTCAAGTGTCTCTCTCTAACAAAGGTCAAACTCAAGGATAGTATTCTTCGGTGTCTAATTTGGGGTGGGGTGCTGGAGCACTTGACACTGAAACCAGAGCCTCAATGCAAATTAAAAGTTTCTCATCTTTGAGTGATTCATTAGTATCTTTAAGCTTGGAGGGTTGCATAATTGAGCCTTCATCATTCACCGGTTCTCTCTCTCTCAGGCGTCTTCATCTGAAAAAAGTGTCCCTTACTAAAGACGTCTTGTCGTCTCTAATTACTCGTACTGAGCTGTTGGAGCACTTGATTCTTCAAGATTACAAGGATGGCATCATCAATCTCAATATCAATAACTGTGCCCCAAGTCTTAAAACTTTACATATGAAGGGTCTATTTCCTCTACTCCAACTAATTTATAAACCTTTCGCTTGGAGAACAGGTCTATGCAGGTAGGTAAGAGTTGCATTTCTATTCATGTTATGTTTGCTGATTCTACTCGGGATCCTCCAATTGGTTGTGCTTTGAGGAAACCCGGGATTGCCCCAATTCCCCTGCTTTTTGAGTTTTGTTTTTCTACTTTTCTATTATATCCAGTGATGATCTGACTAGGGAAACACTGAGTAGGATTGGTTGACATGGAATCGGTCCCCTAGCAATTCAGTCCTAAATCCGATTTCATATAAAACTTTTGGTTGTGACTAATGAATCTCTTCCGGGCCTTGTTGTAAATGTAGAATTTGTTACATTTAGTATAGTGAAAAATCTAGTCCACAGGAACTTTCAGTGAGGTAATTCCTTTCATATTTTCCCTTGAGGCTCTTAGGAATCTTGCTTGTGAAAAGAACACCAAGAAAAGAAACTGAAATATGAGGCAAAACTAGATCTTTCTCTTATGTTTGATAATTATAGAAAGAAGTTCCCACAATACATTTTTGTTGAAGACTCTATGATTATGTTTAAAATGAATATGTAGTTTTCAATAAATTGCATAATAACATAATAGAATGGGAATCTGCAGGAAGGAAAATGGTCCTTTAGAACCTCGTGCTAGAGTAGTGCCCTAACCTGTATCAATGAATCCTTACAAGCACGATGGAGATATCCGTAGGTTTCTACATATGTCCTCAATTGTATGTCATGAAGAGCTATGCATCATCTCTGGCAGTCAATTGTAGGGATCCAATGGTGCCCTATATGAAACATGTACTGTTGATGTTTTTGCAGTGGGAAAATGCTATAGTCTATTTGAAAATAGCTTGGGTCATGTTTCTCTTTGCTTTGAGAAAGAGAGAGGCAGGAGAGAAGATTTTTGGACCGGTATCTTTGGGCCAAGGTAACTTTCTCTTTCATCTCCTCTTTCTCTCTCTTCTTTTTCTCTCCTCATTCTTTCTCTTCTTTTTCTCTCTACAAAGGTTTATGGAAAGCTGTTTGTGTCTTATTCTAGAAAGAGATGACCAAACTATTGTTTCAAGCCAGAAGACGACTTGAAAAATAATTAGAAGATGACAAAGTAGCTAGGACTACTATGTTGAGCTTTATAGAAGATGATTTAATTAGAGTCTTTGAAGATCACACCACAACTCAAAGTATGATGGGTGTTCTTATGAGACCACTTTTGAAATCTATGTACAATTGTTGTTAGAAAAATACAATTCTTGTAAAGAATTAGACTCAGTGACCGAGCATGTCAATAAAATGACAGTGCTCGTAAAGGACCTTGCTGCAGCTGAGAATCCAGTCCCCCACCGCAAGCAAATGTCTATTGTTCTTAACAGTCTCCTACTATCTTGGGAGTCTGTTGTAATTGCATTGAACCATT